TGGTGGTCCTTTGCTAAATTTTGAAATGACGGTTTGAAAATAACTTAGAGCTGGGTACTTTTTTGTTATGAAAACAGTAGCAATATAGTGTGTTTCCCTTCGAATGCAGTCGTATAGGGTGTATCATTTTCCAGCCGTTTCATAACGTGCTCRCCCGTTACGGCAGGGCGCAGCCTCGCGCTCCTGCGAGGGCCGTCGGCTGCCCGCGGGTAAGGGCAGAGCTCAGGGCACCGTGCGGGACCTCCCGCCCGTGGCTCCCAGCRGCCGCCCGCGCCGGTGGGACAGGCGCCCGCCGCACCCCTGGCCCGGCACAGGGCCCCGTGCTGAACGCTCACGCTGCACGGGGTATTTTTAGCTCTTTTAATTAATCTGCCACCATTTTCSCAGGGTAGTATTTTGTCTTTGAACATACTTCCCATAAAGATGTTTAAGGGTCCGTATCAAATTAAAGCGAGCGCATATTGGAAATGGGGCCCTGGTGACTGAAACCAACAGTGTCTGTTTTTGGTGCACACCAGCACTCGCTCGTGCACCCCAGTGCACACCGCATTCCCCTCCAACAGCCAGCCGACAGTGCTAGCTGGACTTCGTGAGATGACTGATGGTGACCGTTTTGGTGCCAGCATTTGGGGATGAGGATGCCAGCCCTGACTTCCTCGCCCGAGTTCCTCCGCCGCGATGGGCCGGGCAGTTAAGCGTAGGTGGGTGTACATGGGTGTGCGTGGGTGTACATGGGTGTGCGTGGGTGTACATGGGTGTACGTGGGTGTACGTGGGTGTACGTGGGTGTACGTGGGTGTACGTGGGTGTACGTGGGTGTGCGTGGGTGCAGGAGAGCCGCGGCGGTGCAGGCGGGAGCGCCTCTGCAGCGCCCTGCGTCGCGCCCAAACACTGCAGAACTGCCTGAATTATCAGGCTTTGCCGAGCGTTACCGCGATGGTCAAAGCTTTGTTTAATCACTTTAATTTAGTCTCCATCTGGCATCCGATTTGAAAGGACCTCCTTGGTCACATCTATCTATATTTAACTTAGCGAGTGAGTTTTCCATCGCTGTAAATGCCTGCCCAGGGCRCTTAGCCTTGAGGATGATTGCATTTGCATAACACTAGACAAACTGGTGTCTTCTCAGATTCGTTTCTGTTTGTGCAAGAGTCTGAGGTTTTGTCCTCCAAGACGAAGCTTTCTCCAAGCCTGCTTCACAGGGCAGGGGAGCAACAAACTTCCCTGTGGTCAAAACGCTCCCGAGTTTCTGCCAGGCCGCTCCACGCAGGTTCCCTCTCCTCTTGCAAGTCCTTGCTCTTAATTCCGGCTTCCATAGGCAGCCTGCCCTTTCTTCCAAAGCCGGAACTCCTTCACCGACTTTAATCGTAACAGTATTTAGAGATGCTATCTGTAGGACCCAGCACAGACTCGGGAGGCCCATTTTCTTGCAGTCACTTCTTTTAAGCAAACTTTGCTGACAGGCCAGTCTTTTTCAACTTCTTTTTCTAACRGCTTTGACCTTGAGTTAGTTTATCCTTTGCTTCTTTTTTTTCCATTTTTTAAAAAAATTGCATAGAAACTAATTATTAAGGTTTTCCCACAATAAATCATTAACGTGAGTATAGCCAAATGAAATGCTTATTAGCATCTCTCTGTCTAATCCATTTAACAGAATTACTCTGGCTGTTAAGACAACCAGAGGGGTTCGTGCTTTTGTCTGCAAGGCATCAGAACTAAAGCTTATAATTATTTCTGCTTAATGCAGCCCTTGGTGTTAGGCAATGTTGGTTAGCACATTGCAGCATAATACTTTGCCTAATCTCTTGTATTAATTAGAGATAGTGATATAATATGACTTTGTTCCTTTTAATTCACTACCAGGAGAGATGTCGGTGCATAATCCGATCCGTGCTAAGAGGGTGCTGGAATATGTGTGCTGAACAACTAGGTAGTGCTGTAAAACATTGAGCTTACGTAGAAAAATCACTATATTGGGCAAACAGCGGGGTCCGGGCAGGAGGATGCCCGGCAGGTCCACGGCGTTGTCCTGAAGAGGAGAGGTTCTTGAGCTGCTGTGTCTTCTAAGTCTGACATCATTGTGTGTTCTCAAACACCACAGTCCTTTCCTCAAACTCGTTATAATCTTCTTGCAGAAAAAGATTCATTTTGCTTCATGGCACCTCTGCAGATTGCAACAGAATTTGCATTGCCAGATGAGCACAAGGGGAGGTGAGAAGCCTGACCTTGGTTCCTGTTTTAGATGGTTACAAAGGTTTGCTCTGCGTCTTTGGGCAGGGAGATGCTTTGCCGAAGGCGGTGCCGGAGGGTGGCCCCGCAGCCGTCCCTGGGCTCGCCGTGCGACCAGGAACTAACACAGTGCTCCCATAGGATGGTGATAGGAACGACGGAATGGCCTCGGAGAGCTGCGCATATAACCAGGGAGTCAAACAAATTCATGCTTTCATTTAATATCCCATCATGGATACCTCCGTGATTTTTCTCTGTGCAAATGTTAAGGCTGTGTGCGCTAGCGTGTCTGAGCACAGGGGTAAAGCTGCCTTCAGTGCTGAGATCTTAGTGGAAAAAATAAGCTGTGTGTTTTATGCTGTTTGGGAAACATGTAAACATCTTCCATCTGAATGGAAGCTCTTAACGTGGCACAGAAAACCCTCCAGAAATCACGAAAGGTCTGCAGTCCAAGCAGAAAATGGTCTTGCCTGGAGTTACACAGCAGCAGTAAAATAGTGATTCATTCCRAGGGAGGAGCAAGTAGGACATTATCCAGAAATATCTGAATCTTAGAAGTCACTTTGTTGGCTTCTTAAAGCCCTTAAGCCACCACAGGAGATTAGCAGAGTTTACTCTGCTTGGGGAAAACCTCRTGTGGGAGCGAAGCAGACGGGAGCGAGGCGGGATGGGCCCGGGGGCACCGTGACTGCCCGTCCCGCCGGCCRGACACCCCTGTGTGCGGAATGTGAACCTCGTGGTCGTGCTCCAGCGCTGAGCTGCCACGGGGCGAGCGGCGCTGTGTTCTGACCCGCCCTTGAAAGCCCGTTTACAGCAGCCCGCCAGCGCGCCGCCGCTCCGTCCCTCCGGCAAACGCAGCACGGACGGCCCGCAAGGGCAGCGGGTTCTGCCYGCAGCGACGCTCCGAGCCCGGCACCGCAGCGTCAGCAGCTCCCGATGGGTCCGTGCAAGCGACCCCGCGAGCCCACGGAGCAGAGGCAGCGCCCGGGCGCCGAGCTCGCCCGGACTGCCCTCCTGCAGCGCTGGCATCACACTGCATGTCCGCATCGCAGCCATCCCAGCCGTGCCCTCCTGCAGGCCTCTCGCACATCACCTTCTTCTGAACCCGCAGCTCCTTTCCGTTATTTGCACAAGGATGTGTGTAATTTTCCCCCATTCATTCACCTACTGTTTTTATGCTGAACCAAACTGCAGATGATTTAATAAGCTTTAGAAAGACAGCATTGGTTCATGCCCAGGAAATCAGATTTACATAATTTTCCACTTGCTTTTAGAGCTGCAGCAGTTCAAATTATCTGTACTTTGTGAAACTTGCTTTATATGATAAAATTCCACCTACTTGGTTGAGCTTGCAGCTCGATTTTTGTAATAAATTTAATGTTGATTTGTCATACTGGCTTATCACAGAAACTTCCCTTTTCAATGAGAAGGTAGCGCCCGGGCCGGCACCTCCTCGTGGTTCTGAGCTGCTTGACTCAGAAGGAGCTGGTATCTTACACACCACAGAGAAACCGCAGGGCGGGTGATGCGCCAGCACTGGGGCTGCAGCGAGGCTTGGCGCTGAGGCGGGGGGGCCTGCCGGACCCCGCGGGTTCATTTTCCTTTGCTGCTCGGTGGCCGCGTTGCGCCTGGCGCTGCCGCGGTGCCCGGCAGGCTGCATGCAGGGCAGCGCGTCGCGGGGCCCCACGTCGCTCGCCGCGGTGCAGCACAGCGCACCGGGCGGCCGGAGCAGGCAGCGCACGCGCCGCGCGGCGCTCGCTCTGCTGCGGCACCCACCGTGCCCCCGACACCGCGATCGCTGCGTTAGCGCCGCCGCAGCCAGCCCCGGTGTCGTGTTAGCGTGGCTGCAACCACCGGCCGGGACCATCCCCATTGCTGTGTCAGTGTGGCGGGAACCATCCCCGTTGTGTTGTGTTAGCACAGCTGGAACCACCGGCCGGGACCATCCCCATCGCTGCACTGGGGTGGCCGGAACGATCCCCGTTGTTGCATTAGTGCAGCTGGAACGATTCTGGTCCCTGCGTTAGTGCAGCCAGAACGAGCCCTGTTGTCAGTTTGTGCATCTGCAAAGATCGGCCCGAACGATCCCTGTCACTGCCTTACCGTGGCCAGAAGGATCCCGGTCGCTGTGTTAGTGCGGCTGCAATGATCCCCGGCACTGAAACCCCAGACAAAATAGCCAGCACACGTGAGAATCATGACTGTTACGAATTGTTTTCTCGGTTGTTTCTTCAAAATAGAGTTACATGTGTTACAACAAACACATGCTGTTACTTCAGTACACAAGGCATTGTGTTAAAGAAGGTAAAGATAATGTCTTCAGAGAGACTGAAAATGAATTCATTTCGTTTAGCTTAGCTTTGCTGAGCTTTGGGTAAGCAAAGTTTTCAGTCTGACCTCTAAAGTTAGGCAGTGATAGAGAATGTTTTCCCACAGTACATTCAACTTTCATTGATTTCAATAGGGATTTTAATGCTCAGTAACTTATAAACAAATGAATTATTCAGTTGCTTACATATAATGCACTCATCTAATGCTAAGTATTCAGGTTTTTAAATGTTTGCATTAATAGTGATTTATTCTCATTAAAACAAAAGGCAATATTTACTTGTTTTTGTGGCATGTTTTTTCTTTGTATTTTTGCAGCATTTTATTCAATTTYCAGAAGAACGGGTTCGCTGCTCTAAAACATCATATGAGAATGAAGTAAACTGAAGCATTTTGGGGTGCGGGGTAGAGTTTTGGCTTAACCGCTCGTTCTTGTCTCTGCAGCCCCCAGTACTGCCCAGTACGGGATTACCGGCGCTGCCGAAGTGGTCTTCTCCTGCTGGTCCCTTGTGTTGACACTGTCCTCTCTCACCAGCATATTCTACCTGAAGAACATCATTCTGCAACACGTGTAAAGAACCATAAACGGCTTCTAAGGATTCTCTGAAAGTGCTGATGACTGGATCCAATCTGGTAGAGTTTGTTAAAAGCAGCGTGGGATATAATCAGCAGTGCTTACATGGGGATGATCGCCTTCTGTAGAATTGCTCATTATGTAAATACTTTAATTCTACTCCTTTTTTGATTAGCTGCATTACCTTGTGAAGCAGTACACATTGTCCTTTTTTAAGACGTGAAAGCTCTGAAATTACTTTTAGAGGATATTAATTGTGATTTCATGTTTGTAATCTACAAGTTTTCAAAAGCATTCAGTCATGGTCTGCTGAGTTGCAGACTGTAGTTTACAAAAAAAAAAAGAATATTGCAGTAAAAATGTGCTTCTTTAAGGCTGCAATACAAACATTCAGTTCCCTTCTTAAATAACATTCTATCTGCATTTACACAGAAGCATTTTTTCTTTTTTTGMTTAAAAAAAAAATCAAAAAAAAGCCTTCAAAATATTTCTTCAAAATGTTACACATATCTAGATTTTCTTCTAGCATGATATTCAGGTTTCAAGAATGAGCCTTGTATTATAACTGCATTGTGCAGTACTGCTTTTTTTGTTCCCTTTTCTTTTTCCTGCCAATTCAGCATGGGTGTGCCTTTATAAAATACTACTTTTCTCCTCCTCTCCAATAAATCCGGAATGTGTTTTGGGAAATGCTAAAGCATCCTTTTGAGCGTAGCTGATCTCCAATTGAGGACAAAGGTGCTATTGGGGAAAAGATACCTCTGCCTCCCGCCCGGCAGGTCAGGGCACTGCTTCAGGCCTAGCCTAAGTTCTATGCTTAGGCCATCAGTCAAGGATAGCACCAAAGCCTTTCTATTCTTTCCATATACTATCACTAATCAGTAGATGATCTCTGTTAAAACAAGTGTTCCCATTACAAAGCAAAACACAGAGTATTTTCGGACACCGCGTGAATGTAAAAGTTTTTCCCTCAGTCATTCTAAATCAAAATCCTTAAGTGGCTGTATATGTGAGAAGCTGAATAGTCCCTTTTTTATTATTGCCCCAAACGATGTGATTTTTATGTTTGGCTACTTTAGCAATGATAAAGGATGCTTTTAAATATTAGATATCTGAAAATACACTAAGTATCAAGCAGATTTTTTATATATATATAATACATATACATGTTAAAACGAGGTTGCTCCAATAACTGTACTTAAGTGCATGTTACCAATGATGCATCTTTAAAGACAGAACTTCATTACTCATGTACTAATATTGTACGARTATCTTGCTACAGCAGTTAACTTCTCTGTAACTCAGTGAAGGACAAGTTTCAAAATAGCATATAATGTTACTAAATTCTTTTCTTTTTTAGAAACACAGCTCCATGCTGCACTAACATAACCCTTTGCTCACAAATTACAGCTGAGKTTGAAAATGTCGTCCATATAAATTGCTGGGATTGACTATGATGTCCAACAGCCTTTGAATACAGGATCTCACATTGACCCCATAGAGGTTGACTTGCTTATGAAACAACTGTTGAAAACAAATATAATAAAAAAACTACATTATTAATTTACTTTCCATGGACCTGTTTTATGTAGGAATTCTAGTAGGTAACGATACAATTACTATAACACMTTTTCTCCTAAGTTTTTGTAGCTAGCAATACCGGATGAGTACTGTGCAAACTCAGCAGTTCCAAATTCAGCTTGCAAATATTCCCGGTTTTGAAAGTGCAAACTTTGAATTTCTTTAGTTTATGCTATCCCATGCTAAGATGTAGACAGATTATACAGTGAATCTGTTTCGTTACTGACTAACCTAGATGCAGGGTATAAACTGAAATAYAGTGACTCCAAAATATGGCAATAAAATGTCTTAAGCCACGCTACTTCTGTTCAGTGATAGAATTAACAGATTCTATGACATTATTTTGAGCTGTGTGCTAAGCCATTACTATTGTCAAAAAATGTGGCATTTTTTAAAACCTTGAATAACATGGCAAAATTCACTCTTTACAGAAATCGTATAAAAAAAACAGTTCAAATTATATACTGTCCTGATCTCTCTTGTATTGCAGCTTTAAAGTGCTATATTTTAGAACTATTCATTAGAAACAGTGGTGCTTCAGAAAATACCACGTCAGTATAGCTCTGTGAAGACGGAAAAGAAAGAGTTAGGATATGCATAACCCAACTCATATGCCTCTTCCTACAGAAAATTGAGAGCTGTTCCTATACTGTGGCTGGACAACATATGGTATTTTGATAAACAGCTTCAGCGATTCCTATATCTGGAACATGATAATTCCAGCAACAGAATAGAATAAACAGCTGTTCTATTAAATACAAAAATGAAAGCARTGACAGTTTCATTCTGGGTGCCACTGGAACAGCATGGACATTTGGGGACATAATTATTGTCAAGTCTAAAAAGGAACAAAACAAAAAACAGAACAAATATTTCTAGTGCCAATGGCATTTTCTTAGGTGGACTGGGCATTTAAACACCCGTGAGATCTGCRTGTTTAGCGAGGAGACCTGTGTGTGCGTGCAGATTGCAGGCTCAGCCCCTCGCGCTGGGCTGCCCGCACGTGCCCTCGGGGTCTGTAGGGTTTGTGTCTCGAAGGCTGCTTGTCAACATTTGACCATTTAACCCTCCAGTCCTACAGAGACACAGGCGTGCTTGACTTTATGCACCGATTTACTCAAAAATCAGAGTTCGTAAAGTCAGTCAACCTTGGTTTTTGTAGGATTGGAGCCATAGGCAATACAGGTAAATAAAGAAACTTGATTCTTTGGTTAATCTGTTCCATACGGTAAACTGGTAATTGTACAGTTTGGGACTTATTGGGATGTTCTTCCAAAATGGACTGTGCAGACTGTTGCAAACGGAATACAATAGCATTCTACAAGACCTATTCACCCTTGAATTTCTGGGGTGTACCTGCTTTAGGCAACTGTTTCAAGGTATGTTCTATGCTTTTCCAATTCACTAACCCATACTGTTTCATATCTGTTGATCAAATATCACTATATTTATTCCCAGCTTTAAAATGTGAAAAATAAATGGATGAGCTGCAAGCAGCATAACTGGATATAAGATTGCTTTCCACATTCGAAACCCTGAAGTCTGTAACACCGTAAGTTCCTACTCATGCAATAACTCAGGTTTATTAATTACCATCTCATTGGCGGCACATATAGAAGCAATGATGCTCTAATCATACAGTTGATGATCGTGATATTATACTGAATTAAAGGATGTCTCACAACTTCTTAAACAAATGCAGTTTCTCAAGGGTTTATAATTTGGCAGGAAACCTATTCTTCATAGCTAGACAGCTTTTTTTAAATTTTTCAATATATATATTTTCTTTAGATACTATGCTGTTTTTAAGATACAGGAGTGTTTAAAAAACATCACCAGTAAAAGCTGCTTTTTTGCACATTTTCGGAGTTAGCATTCTAGAAAAATAATGGTAAACGTTTTGCCTACCAAAATCTCTGCTTATTCCACATAACTGTGTTATAAAGAATGTGTATACCAAAATATATATTTACATGGATAAACAATATGCCTTAAATTCTAGATATGCATTTACTTCTAAGACTGGATAATGGTAGTGGCCAGTCTGGAGGTAAATAATCCATACTTCATAACCTGCCATGGAAGTTTTCATTTCTTTCTGGAAAGAAAAAAAAAAGAAAAAAAAAAGAAAAGAAGCAAGCAAAAACATTCAGCTTCTTTTAAAACAATCTTAAATAATTTAAAATTCTTGCATAAATTGCCATATGTGAGGAAGTCTAGGAAAAGGACAAAGTTTTCGCCTGACACTTTCTCTTTGGCACTGGAAATGAGCTGCGTGGTTGTGGGCAGGTTGCGCGGAGGGGCTGGCAGCGCTGGGCGCTGCCCGCCGGGACAGGGACAACTCGCTTGGGCTTGTCTGGAGTTCAGTGTGGTCACTGCACCTGCTTAGCTCTGGTTTGCACTCCGCTCTTGTGCTTCTCCATTAAGCTTTACGGGTGAAGGAGGGAACTGATCTGCTCTGAGCAAAGTCCCTAACGTAACTGGCACAGCCAGATCATCACCACTGCAGAAGAAGGGTCTCAGGATAATTTGGGAAGAGTTCTCAGTAAAACTTGCTCTGAAAGTTTTTATCAGAGGGGTGCACGAGATTTTTCCCTGGTCACCTTCAGCGTTGAGGAAACACATTTTTTTCCTTATAAGCTTCTACCAACTTTCTGCCAAACTTACAAAGACACCAAAAGTTGCTTTCCATTAGAAAATTGTTGTATTAAAAATGTAGATTGGCATACTTGTCACAGCTCGTAATTTACTTTTAGCCATTTATATTTTAAAGGATATTAAACTGTCCTTGTTAGGACATAAATTTGTATTACAGGACAAGATGTGGGGCCAAATTCCCAGCCTCCTCTGACTCTTAATTCCCCTTGGAGTCTCTGAAGGCTGCAATGAGGCCATCAGCTGTAATCATCTGAGGACTCTTGTGCTGAAGGCAGTTGCCGAATGATGTATAACAGTTATTAAGAGCTCTGCTTCACCTACATGCTGAAGCCTCAGTATCTCTTGGTTGTCAGAATTCTCCCCTAGGGTTTGCTCAAAGTTATGCCAAGAGCCACCGCAGTGATTGGAGCAGTGCAGAGTGACCTTTAGCTTTGCTCCTGCGCTGCGGGTGCCCAGGCAGAGCACAGAGCTTGGCTCTCGAAGGCGCTGAACTCTGAACTGCAGCGCAAGCAGCAGGGAGAACGGGCTCGGCTCTGAGTAATGTTGCCTACAGTCACCTTCATCATCTTAAATTTCTTTACTCGTCCTCTATGGCAACTGCATAGGCAGGTAAACTTAAGCCTCCACTAGTGGATTAAATTACATTTCTGCACCAAACCGGAATTTAAAGATAGGGAAAGCAGGAAAGGGGGAGACACTGGTTACTGCCACTAAAGCTACATGAATTTCTCCCTCTATCTTTCAAATACRAACATATTTATTATCCCAACACTACTTTTTTTATTCTGCCACCTAAAAAAACTTGTAATGATATATATTGTATTTAGTACCCATAGGGCTAAGAAGTCTGTTCTCCCCTGATACACATCCATCCTCCTCTTTATTATTTTTCAGCCAAAACTAAAACACAATTCACACATTATATGGTGCAATTCATGTGCGATAACATCAGCTCTTCCACTTAGCAAACCCATTATAGTCATAAGTACGTAACTCCCATTAACCTCAGAGGCAGCGACTTAAGCGTGAACCACAAGCAGGAATAAACCTTAAAGATGTCATTTAGCAGAAGCAGGGCTGTTTCCTGCTCTGTGCCCAGCAGTGAGATGGCAGACTCCTTCCTTCCAGCCCCCTCTTCCTTTCCTTATGCTGAAGTGCATTTCACTCATCTTCAGGGAGATTAATTTAGGTTGGAAGGTATAGTCACTTAGACGTGCTTAACATTTTTGACGTATCACTTCAGGTAGTGATAGTCCTCAGCTGAGTACAAACGTGAGAGGTGAAGCATCCCGGGAAGCTGCACTAAGTTGGGCAGTCAGCTCCCACTTAATGCTAATGAGACAGTTTCTTGCAGAAATTTCAGCTTTATAGAAGCTACAGGAGGTAGCATGGTTCATTAGGCTATGAAAGCTTTAAAATGTTAAAGGAACTGGTTTTCTTCTCTCATTTAAGTGAATTGCTAAAAGCTCTGGGTTGTTCCTCTATAGAACTTTGAATTCACTATTTTTTTTCCATTAACTTTGACCTTTTTACATTTATATTTTAAAAAGTTAACTTTAGAGAAAGCTACTGCAAATTCATTTCCCCCAAGTTTTTGAAAGTGTACTTAAGATTAGAGAGTCCAAGTTTCATGATGGAAAGAAATGGATCCCCTTTGCCAAGATAATTTCTGTATAAAACAGGATTATTTTTTTTAACGTGTCAAAAATTAAGGGTCATAAGGATCCTGTGAATCATTTCTACATTACTTTGAACAATAGCAGTGTGTGTATCCTCTTTTCCGCAAGTGTTCATTGGTAGTGGAAAAGCAAGCTGAGTCCTGCTGCCCCTGTGGTCTGGCAGCTGCCTGAACCACAACCCATCCGCAGCCTGGAAAACAGCTCTGCACTTCTGTGCCCACTTGCATAGACACTGGTGCTTCTCACTCGAGCTGCTTTTGCTGCTGTCTGGGAAGAATTCTCTGATTGCTCTCGGTGATCCGTCCCCACGGGACATCCATGTGGAGTTACGGGTCATCCACAAGGAAGTTAGGACAATGTGGGTGACACGTTTTTCTGAAGTTTGGTTCCACAATATTTGCATAAATATTTTCCAATAACTAATGATGCAGACATGTACTTAATCCATTGGTAAGCAAAAAGTTATTTTTGTGATTAATGAAAATAACAGCGACTTCATAAAAATCTCTTGTAAATATCCCTAAGAGAWGTCTGTATCAGCTAGGTGGGGTTTACTTCTAAACTGATCTCTAACTGTTATTAGGGCCATTGAGGCTTTTGCAGTGAGCAGACAAGAGCAGCCTTGTGACAGCCGAACAGAAGCGAAGCGCCCAGCACCCGGCTGTGCTTTCCAGCCCGGCAGAGCCGCGGTGGCCCTGGGCTGGCCCCAGCACCCATGGGCGCTGCGTGTCCCGCGGCAGGCGAGCAGCGGCGAAGGCGCGTGCAGAGCAGAGCCCGCTGGCTAGGCCTGCAGCTCCCCTCTCTCCGCTGCCTCCTGGCCGTTCCTGCGGCAAGCCGAGCACGGCTGCGAGGCGGGCACGGCTGCGGCGAGGCGGGCACTGCGGCAAGCCCGGCACGGCTGCGGCGAGGCGGGCACTGCGGCAAGCCCGGCACGGCTGCGAGGCGGGCACGGCTGCGGCGCGCCTGGGCTCTGCTCCGCACCGCCACCCTGGGCTCGTTCTGGCCGTTCTGCCCCCTCTCTTGCCAGCAGCCAAGGTGGCAAGGCAGGGCAGGGAGAGCGGGAAGAAGGGTGCTCTGTCTAATGTCGCTTCTACAGTGAACCTTAGAAATGTGTCAGATGAATCGTCAGCTAAAAAGGAGAAGACTTGATGTCAAGTTTTACGAGTAGAGAGATGAAATGTTACCCAAAGAGGTCAAGATTATCACACTGTAGTTGCTCCGCAATCAGCGATTGCTGGAGAGCAGCCTTTGGTCAGTAATTCAGTGCTCGGGACCTTTGTGGAGCTGAAGGATTTTGAAAAGGAATGCAGCACCATGGCACAGGATTTATGTTTGGGTTGTCACTGTTGTAACTTCAAGGCACATATCTGGGGGAAAGGAAACACCATAGAGAGGTTTGTCTAACAGGATTATGGGGTTTTTGTTTAAAAAATGTGAAAGCTCTGTCTTGTTAATCTGACTCAACAAAACTTTCTTTCCCAAGCTGGACACATAAGCATTGACTTTCTTGGCAGTATGAGGTATGGTGTTAATTTTTTTCATCTGGACATAAGTTTTTTATAATGCAAATAGTAGAAATGTTTCATTATCGGTTTTCCTACCCTGTTGGTTAAATACATACCGGACAGGTACCTGAATTTCTATAGCATTCCTATTTGGCACGCTAGTTTTGATAAGTGGTTTAATCTTTGTTTCAGTGCACTAAGCAGCTTTTTGCATTGGAACATACTGTAAGAGTGCATTTTAAAAATTAATTTCTGAGGTTAATCACCCATAGTAACTTGGCTCCCAGAAATGTTGTGCTCGGGTTGAACTGGAGCTCCTTGTGAAGTGAGATTGTGGTAATGCCAGTCAAGAGGCCCTGATGAGTGCTTCCTTCACGGTATTTCTCGCTGGAAGATTTTAGATAAGACACTTAGGCCTTCTGAAAAAAAAATCAGCTAAGGGCTTTGACCTTATATTTGAATATGGAATTAACACTCCGGTAAAGGTTAATGAACAGAAGACGCGAGTAGAGAATTTTGACTGAAATACTTACGAGAAGAATTTAAACACATGAAGATCACAGATCAAATTTGCTGCTCAGCACCTGCTCCTCCTCTGCCTTCCAGCTTTTAGGG